ATCGATCGTAAACTTCTTAAACTCGAGACTATATTCGCCCTCTTCTTCGCTCAATGAACTGATGTCATCGAAAGCGTTGGACAACAAGCCCTGGATCTGATTCAGTGATACATATAATTGTTAACATGAGATGATGGTTTCAATGAATGGTCACCTCTTTATGTCTGTCGTCGATGTCGTCGTCCTCTTCATTGTTATCCAAATCCAGATTCAGTGAAACGCTTTCCATAACAACAATAATAAGCAAACATTCATTCAATCAAAACAAACACTAAATATTGAAATCAATTGTCAATTAAAACACTAAACAAAACACAAATCAAATCAAAAGCAAATGATTGCGAGTTTTGGCGCTTTATTCGCATTGAAAGGGGTTTTCAATTAATTGTAATTTCATTTCATATTTAATTTACTTATAATTCAATATTTGTATCAAATTTTAACAATCATTGTATTCTATTGTAATTTAAAACTAATATTTTGTGATTAAATGTAATTAAAATCAATTTTATAGTGAATTAAAACAATGAAAAGCAACGAAACAATTGTAATGAAGTGTCGGTCCCTTTGAGACACATTTTACACACNATTAAAATCAATTTTATAGTGAATTAAAACAATGAAAAGCAACGAAACAATTGTAATGAAGTGTCGGTCCCTTTGAGACACATTTTACACACAATTCATGAAAACACTTGAAATACGTTTCAATCGTTTTATTATTGAAATATTTATTCATTTAATTCATTCATTCATTGAAAATACAATCAATTAATACTTAGACAACAATTAATGATATTTCGATACAATTAACACGTTTTCAAACTAATAATCGCATAAAAATCAACACATTTTTGGCGTACATTTGTTTGTGAAGTCATATTCACTGCAATACTTGTGTTTAGTATTGAATTTGTAAACAATTTGTAAATTATTGTAATATTTATACACTTTATGTAAGTATTGATTGAATTAATAGCGATATTAACTAAATGTTGATTTGATTTTAAATTATTGATTGAATTAATAGCAGATTTATTGGCGGATTAGTTGAGTGGTAAATGTCACACATGTTGGGCCCAAAGAAGTCACGTTTTAGTGACTCCGCAACGCTTCCCATAGACATCAACAATGGTTTCAATAACACCCCTAATAACCCGATGGCCGCCGAAGACAATGAGTCCACTCCTGCCGTGAATCTGAATCCATTACAAGTGAATCAAATGATGGCTGATATTCACAAACAGATTGAAGAGAGGAAACTAAAGCTTAAAGTATTTATTATTTACTGTTATTTGGTTTTTTAAATGTTGAGACTATTGTTGGTTTGAATGGACAGATTGGAGGACCTGTACAGCAGCCGCCGCCACCAAAGAAGGTGACTCCACAGTTGGCCACACCATCAGTACCTCCGATGCCATCGATGCCCGCACAGCGAATGTCTGCAGATTTAGACCACAAGTCAAAACATGTCCATCCGGTCATACCTTCACTATCGCCGTCAATATCGTTGCCGTCTTCGTCATCGTTGAGATCTTCTTCGTCGGCCTCTGAATCCTCCGCTTCTTTGTCTTCTCTGTCAAAGCCGTCCAAAAATTTGAGACAAGAAATGAGAGCAAATACTTTCTCTCTATAGTTCTCGACAGAAGTCACGTCACAATTAAATAGATCCAAATTCTTTAAATTCTTGAACTCTTCCTATAAGTAGTCATAAGTATTCATATGTGAGAAATGAACGCAACAAACAATTCATTCAAAATGTGCCAAAAGTGTGAAATGTGTGGTAAACTTACCAATGGTTTGAGTGTTTCGATGTCTTTGATTTTGTTTCCACTCAAATTCAAATGCGTTAGTTTCGGGCTTCCGCTCAAGAGGTTGAGTCCACCCGATATCCTATTGTCACTCAACTCTAATTTCTTGAGATTAGGCAGCTTTGGAAAGCCCTTCAAACTGGTCAGCCCTACGTTGATTAAACTCAGCGTTTCTAATATCGCAAAGTCTTCGGACAGACCAACAATGTTAGTACTCCGACAGTTGTCCAAATTCAGGTCCTTTATCTGCAAATACAGCACAACTCACTGTTAGGTACGAGTCATCAACAAATCATCCATACATTGTCAACCAATCAAAGGATAACACAGCCATGCTATACGCTAACCGCAATTCGGGTATTGCAGTTTAGCATTAGTCCCATATTTAATATTGTCCATAGACTTAACACTGTCTATGCACTAAAAATGTTCCCCATAGGATAACATTATCCCCATGTTAAAGGATAAGCATAGACTTAAGCTGTAATTCCAGGTTAAATGCCATAGAGCGGGGGAGGGGGCTGGGGACCGAACGATTTTATAAACCACATTATTCGTATTTAAATTGTGGTTAAAAATACTCTTTCATTAATTTGTTGCTATAATTTAGAGAATGACTAAAATTGTAACTAAAATATGCGCTCAAACTTTGAAACAATAGCTTTTTTCACTCATTATAAACTCTGACCTGAAATGCATTGAATAATTAGATATAAAGTGCAAAATGTCATTGAATTGAGTTATTGAATGCATGTCTTAAGTGTTATATCAATTCAACAATAATTTGCTTTATTTTAATTTCGAGTAAACAATCGTAAAACAAATGCAACTTAAATATAGACATTGTATTCAATGTTCAATAGCTTAGAGAGCAGTCTATCGGCTATTTTGGCACAAATATCACCTAAAAGTTGATGATCTTTGGAGGGAGTGGTAAGGAGTGCAGGGAATGGCAGGTCTGGGCCTGACGTCAGACCCAGTCCTGCCATTCTCTCAGACCCTCTCTTACTAACGATCGTTACTTTTAAGTCAACTTTTAATCAATTATTGTCCACTTTTTGGGCACAAAATCAGAGCCAAAGACAAGTTTGTGTGAAATGCATGGAAACGAGTAGTGAATCGATGATAGGATGGCATTCAATGAGAGGGCATGTGATGTGATGTTTGAGATGGCATTTGTTGTACGCATTGTTGTATATAAAGGCAAACACAACACAACATATCATATGAGAGTTGAGTCGCACTTTAGGCGCACATATAGTCAGCATTTGAAGGCATTTGAAGGCACAACACATTGCCGTCCCTTTAGAGCCAACTCCCAGTCCCGGCCCTCGACTGCCACCACATCAGCGGTCACTCAATAATTGCATACATTTTACTATTTATTGCATTCAATGGTGAGATATCTATGTCTTTACAATCAATCAAAATGTATTGTTTTTTTGTACACAAAATACTCGTTTCAAAGACAGTCTGTATGGATGACAGACAGAGCGCCGCATATAATGACCGGCTTTTTTACAGCGCCTTTCCCTCCAAAACCCAACCCCAAAGTCAGTGACAACTATTGGCCATCACTTATATGTTGTCCACTAAGACATCCGAAACAGTGGTTTCACATACAAAACCAGACAATCGTGTCTTTGGGCCCGACTTTGTCCTCACTCTCTCTCCGACACAACAATAGCTATACTCTTATTGCCAGACATTTGTTGTCATAATATTTTGCATTCATTTAGTGTTAAAACGGAGGGAAAAATGTTGACAAAAAATATGATAATTTGAGTGAAAAGAAAACAAAATAAAGAGATGTTTAACGAAATAAAGTGTTTATAATTTGCGATCACGTGTTGACAGCAATTCAATTGAAAGCATACACTCTATTAGTATTGCGTTTTTCAATACAAACTTATTGTCAACAGTTTTTTTGGGATCAAATGGATTGAGTGATGGGTAAAAGTGATACCTGATTGGCATTTCTGCCCCTTTTCTCCAATTCAATCCTCTTCTCCATGAGGTTTGTGTCAATCGATGAGATTAGAGATGACTTGTGGCGGTCGGTGTCCAGCGGTGGTCACAATCAGTCAAAACAATTCAACACAAGCTTTCAATGGCTTTTGGCAATGCTTTCGATGCAATACAACGCTATGCTATGCTATGGTCTCAATGCCGGCCCAAAGCCATACAATTTTGCACTATTTCTCTCTGTATTCACAGCACAACAGCATTCATGCCTTTACAGCACAGCCAACACTACAGCACTACACAACACACACACACAGAGCGCGCCATTGAATAGCACAACATCACTGCCGACCCAAACCAACCAATCCAAGCGTCCAACACATCAACCATTCACACGTCACACACACCACACACTCCCCTCGTTTGCTGTCCACACCTTTGGCCAACACTTATGGCACCGCATCCATGCCATCACATCCACCACAACAACACAATCAGACAATCCATTCATTACACTATCCCTCCACACCTATTGTGGTCTGTATTTCATTCATGATAACCATATTAATAGGTAATCAATAAATGGCATTAATTAATAGAGTACAGCATTTCATAATAGGTAGAGTAAAGTTAATGATGGTGTAAATCTGTATTGAATGAGTTTGATAAACGTGTATAGACTGTAGTGCTTATGGCTTCAATTGATTGGTGTTATTCCTTAACGCCAGTGATTATCAGTTATTTAATTAATAAATTGGAAAATTTTACCTAAGTTGCTATTCCGTTTACAGTTTTTGTACATAAAATATTAATTCAAATAACTGTCTGTAAATAACTGATATTTTAATATTAAATTTCTATTGAATTTATTTTAAATATATAAATATATGGTGTTTGGTTTAAAGTTTAAAACAAGCATTCATTATGAAAATTGTACTCAAAATTAACTTAAAAATCTGTCATTAATTTTGTATTCAATATATAAATTCTTAACAAAACTATATATGAAATGTCGACATTTATTTGATTACTATTTACAATATGAATGATGAAACTTATGGACCACTAAGTGATGGTCACTTGAGATCCCTTTTAAGAGATTCTAAGATATGAGCGAATTCTTGTTTGATGCGATCGATTTCGTGTTGATGTCTTCGGATGAGTTGATGGTAATGTAGTTTATATTTATGGAGTTTCTCTTTCATCAGAATCGCCTCTTCGCTCACTTTTTGCAACTCATTTCGCAATTCACGTAACATTTGATCATTTGATGAACAGTTAGTCGGACTGACAGAGCGATTGAGACGCGACTCATTGAGCGCCTCTTCTAATTGCAGTTTCGCTTCTTTCAGTTTCTCCGTCTGTAATCTCAACGCCTGTTCTTTCGTATCGCACGAGTCCTCTAATGCGCGCCAAAGACTGGTCAGCGATACAAACCTAAGGCCAACGCTTTCGGGTAAGGTTTCGGCGCTCACTTTGGCCTTCATTTTCAAACACTTAATGATCTCAAGAATTTCAATTTGCAAGTCTTGTTCCCATTTATTCCTCTCGTTTGTCATCTTCTGTTCCGCACTTTTATTCCAATTTCTTTCGTGTAAATCGAGAATATTTTTAATGTCTTTCTCGACTCTTCCCTTCATTTCCTGTTCCCACAACTCTTTAGTCGTTTTAATCATATCTTTGAACTGTTGGTTAAGACTCTCTGTGTTCTGACATTTGGCTGAATCTATATCTTTACTAATGGTTCTTTCTCGACTCTTCCCTTCATTTCCTGTTCCCACAACTCTTTAGTCGTTTTAATCATATCTTTGAACTGTTGGTTAAGACTCTCTGTGTTCTGACATTTGGCTGAATCTATATCTTTACTAATGGTTTGGATTTGACTTTCTTTTGAGCTCAACTCGACTTTCAATCTCTCGATTTCAGACTTAAGTAAAAGCAATTCGTTTTCGTGTTTATTTCTTAAGCCATTGACAACTGAATCGTGTATTTCCTGTCTTCTCACCAAACAATCGCTTTTCTCGATTTCCATCAATTGGTACTGAAGTGACTCTATAGTCGACTCACAAACGGACACTTTTCGCTGGAACTCCTCTTTTGTCTCCCTCTCGACATTGATGTTCACTTCCAAAGACCTGATCTTCGCCTCGAGTTTCACCAATTGGTTCTCTTTCTCGGCATTCATTTGATTCAGTTCTTTGAGTTTATACTGCAATCCCTCATAATTGCCGTCAATTGCGGACAACTTTTGTTGCGAAACAATCAATTCATTGCTAAGCCTTTGATTTTCTTCGATCAATAACTGGACGTGTTTTTGACTAAAAGATCTTTCATTGGTTCCAAACAATTGGTCAGTTCTGGCGTTT